TAAACAATGAAATACGTATTGAAAAAAGGACAGAAGAAAACGCTATCTTTTCAATATACTTTTGAATGAGAGTGATAAGTAATAATTGCCTTATCTAATATCTTATCATGGTATTAACACAGACTATATGAAAACAGATAGTTCAATTAGCCGAGAACAATAGAAAAAAAAATCAAGCTCTCTGATTGGGCAGAAGACAAAGCAGTAGAGACTGTTGTACAATTTCATATTATTGTGCAAATATTTTACAATAATATTGTACAATTCCTCTATCAGTTACAAAAATTATCAATGATATTGGAATTAATGACACTATTGCATTTTAAATACTTGAACGATAATTAATTATAACTGTTCGCATACTTATTTTGTTTAAATAACGTTTAGTCTTAATAAAAATGTTTTTTTTTTTAATATTGTCTGACATTATGAATATTGTGTTTAATTTGTATAAAAGTTGACATTTTGTGTAGTTTATTATTTCATAAATTTTTTGTCAACGTTTAGTTAGTTTTACCTATAATATATGAAGCTGTAATTTTTGGTTAAACTGTTAATAGTATTATATTTTTTATAAAATTTGAATTATTTTAGATATAATAAATAATAATATAAATTATATAATAAATTTTATATTTTTATTATTATTATTATTGTTAGCCATTTTTGGCCAAATTGTAGCCATTTTCACCGTGAAGACAAAATAAAGTCCGAAATTTTTTTTCCCCAAAATAAAGTATATTACATTAGCTTTAATTTAATATATATATAAAAGCGTCAGTATTTCCGGAACACTTTCAAAAGTTAAGTTGAAAAAGTTATTTTTTTGTGAAAAAGTTGTCATTTTGAATTCCCTACTGTGGGCTGGTAAAGGGTTAAATTTATAAAAAAAATATACCAAATAATAGGTAAAGACATCAAATATCTATATAAAATTTTCATTTTTGAAAAAGTTATGGTAGTGTTAAGAAAAAAATGTCAAAAATTACTGATTTTTAAAATTGTAATTATTTTGGAGATATCTCCCACTTATGAGGAATGAAGGAAAATTTTTCAATTTTTGAGGGTAACGTCTTCGACTAGATACGATTTGTGATCTTTTGACGTATCGTTGAAAGAAATCGGTTCGGTAAGAGCTGAAGATGAGTGGTAACTGGCAGTTTTTAGTAAAAAAAATTGAAAAAATTTCGAAAATTAGAGATTTTTAAATTTGTAATTTTTCTGGAAGTTTCCCCCATTTACGGTGAATGAGGGAAATTTTTTCAATTTTTGAGGATAATGTCTTCGACTAGATACGATTTGTGATCTTTTGACGTATCATTGAAAGAAATCGGTTCGGTGAGAGCTGAAAAAAACAAGGTAACAGACACACAAAAAATAAATTAATTAAAGAAACACACATCATAGTAAAATTAATACCTTCTCAGCTTTGCATCGAAGATAAAAAATACTGAACACTAAATATTGTAGGTACTGCATCATGACCAGCCGATTTTTTGTAGTCTTTTTCAAAAACATTTTATCGTCAAAATGATCCGCGCAAACTACTAGATTATTTTTTTTTGGATAAAGTCTCTGCCAAATGATTAGTTTGACAATTATTCATCCATAGTTTCAAACGATCGTTTTCTTTAGGATAAGAAAAAAAGCTTTTATCCTTGAAGGAATATGTACTTGGACAAAACTTTACTGAGCATCGCATACTGGTGAGGTAGTGAGATATTTTGAAAGAAAGCACCAAATATAACACGAAATAAGATACATGTGATCATTGACAACATTAACAATAACAATTGTTACTGCTCAAGTCAAATTTAAGTAGTTAATAATTTACATTATAAAAACTGATAATTATTTAATTTTCATGACTAATTTAGGGATTTTGAGTCATAAATAAGGGATTATGGGTTTAATACCTTAATTTAATGATGTATTAAAATAATTTATGTCAATAATTATGTTTATATACGGAATTTCATAATATTTATGCTACAGAAGATTTAATAATGAAATAAATTAAAAGAATTTTTGCGCTCATACATATGGTTGCACTGATTTCACTTCTCCAATCAAAAAACCGTTTTGTTATCGGGCCAAGTGAACTATCTGTTTTCATATAGTCTGTGGTTTTACTGCCAAGTTTGTAATGTATACATATTATCATCATATGTATACACAATAAACTTGAAAAGATAGCGTTTTTTCTGTCCTTTTCTCAATACGTATTTCAATGTTAATAATATTTTTAATAAAATGTAAAAAAATTAATTATTGAGATATAGCTATAGACCTAACGTATAACTATTATTTAAAAAAAAAATCAGCTAAAAATATTAACTAGATCAAAAGTTATTTAAGTTGTCAGTGAGTATTATTACTATTAGCTTCGATGCGAAGCTGAGAAGGTATTGGTTTTACTATGATGTGTTTTTTTTTTTTTTTTTTTTTTTTTTTTTTT